TGTGTGTGTGTGTGTGTGTGTGTGTGTGTGTCTGTGTGTGTGTGTGTGTGTGTGTGTGTGTGTGTGTGTGTGTATGTGCATTTATATATACATATAAAGGCGTAAAGACATCCAAAGAAAAAGTGATCAGATAACAAAGAAGAATCAGGACCGTCATTAAAAATATTATTTTGTTCTGTTCTCTGGACACTTGCTAACGGCGTAAAGCATCCTCGGTGTTCAATTGTCTTTAATGTCTATAGAATTATAAGGTAAAAAAAAAAATATATATATATATATATATATATATATATATATATATATATATATATATATATATATATATATTTTCATTACCATTATTTCTATGAATAAGTAGTTGTAAGACATTGATTCACAGGCAGCAAAAACAGGAACCTCTTTTTTAAGCTTGTACAAAGGAAATGGATTTTGAATAGTTATCAGCACAGTTTAGGCGTTAAAGAAAAATCATTTTTTTCGAGTATCTAAATATAATTAATAAAAACTTTGGAAACTGACTCATGGTTTTTGGATCAGTATATACACCGCGAGCATTTTTAAATTATCATAGATTTTTTTTACTTTTTTGTGTCACTTTTTGCCTATACTTATTTGTTTGGATGACTCAACGAATGCATATAAGGCAAATGAAAATAAATATTTAGTAGCAGAGAGAGAGTGTAAGGCAATAAAGATGAAAATCAAATAAAGAATCATTTAGGAAATATAAAATCCTAACTCAGCACATACTCCATTATGAACAAAGGTCCATTTAGACAAGTTCCAATATATACAGAGATCCGCATAAATATTCCACAGTCACGAAAATAAAACCAACAATCTGAGTGCCATATACCTTTCTCATATGATTTTTTTTTTTTTTTTTATTCATTTCATATTCACTCGAGGAAACAGACTTTCAAGAATCCACCGGCAGGACCTTCATTTCTTTTATTTAACTATACAGTTTCTCCTCCTTGGGTCCCGTTACAACACTCACGAGGGCGAGACCAGAGTGAAGCTTCTTTGGCTTTGGGAACAACACGTGTTACCAGATACATGATAGTCACGTTGACGTTTATATACGCTTTTTTTGTTTTGTTTTGTTTTGTTAATCACATTCGTAGCAAGAAATTACAGTATGATAAAGGAATGTGGCATAATCATAGAATTTACCTTAAACCGTAGTGAATATCGATATGAGTACAGAACATTTCTGCAAACACTATACAAAACGCTCCTAAAACAAGACTATATATTAAATATCAAGAGTAAACATTTCCGTAAACACTATACAAAAGACTCCTAAAACAAGACTATATATTAAGTATCAAGAGTAAACATTTCCGTAAACACTATACAAAAGACTCCTACAACAAGACTATATATTAAGTATCAAGAGTAAACATTTCTGTAAACACTATACAAAAGACCCCTAAAACAAGACTATATATTAAGTATCAAGAGTAAACATTTCCATAAACTCTATACAAAGCACTCCTAAAACAAGACAGTATATTAAATAACAAGAGTTTACATTTCCATAAACGCTATAGGCCAATTCCACTCGCGGTATAAATTCACCAACATACCATTTTAAGAAAGAGAGAGAGACGGGGCATGATTGCTGCTTCTCGTCTTAGAATATATTTAAAGGAAAAGGATAAGGATAAGGAAGGAAAGTAATAAGGAGAGTAATAAAGTAATAAGAAAGACTGTTATAAGGAAATATTAAGAAAGAAATAACGATAGAATGAAAGTAACAAGGAAAGGAGTAAGAAAGTAATAAGGAAAAGACAGGATAAGGAAAAAAGTTCATGAGAACTAAATCGAAAACTGGAATGCAATGGCAAAGATAATGCATGCCATCAACCATCATGACATTTAGAGTCATTGCAGGATCACTATAACTAGTTTAATAATATTATCAGTTTGAATTTCTTATAAATACAAAAATGACTGAAAATATTTTCTTTTAATCTAAGTTTAGTAAACCCGGAAATTCGGTGTACTATATGAAAAAAAATATAGCTTAAAATAATGCATGTGCTGAAAAAGGTAACAACAATGGTAAAAAAATATCATACATATATATAGATAGATAGATAAACAGATAGATAGATATAGATAGATAGACAGATAGATAGATATAGATAGACAGATAGTTAGATATAGATAGACAGATAGATAGATATAGATATATGATATAGAAAACGCTATGAAAATTAATGTGGTTACCTGAATAGCCATCAGATGTTTAAAGTGAAACTTTCGGTGTTTTTGTGCTGTTAAGATTAATAACTGTAGCACTGTTGATATTATGATTCTTTTTAACAATAACGTTGTCATATCTCCGTTCATATATATATATATATATATATATATATATATATATATATATATATATATATATATAGAGAGAGAGAGAGAGAGAGAGAGAGAGAGAGAGAGAGAGAGAGAGAGAGAGAGAGAGAGAGAGAGAGAGAGAGATTGATATAAA